TTTTTTTTTTTTTTTTTTTTTTTTTTTTTTTGCAGTGATTTAGTTTATTACGAGCTGAAAATGCTGACGTGCATAGCTCGTCCAAAGAAACCTGATGAGTCGGATCCGAACAACGCGACAAGCGCCGCGAAAACTCAGGCCGTCAAATCACTCACTTCTCAGGTAGAAGCGATGAAATTCAAAATTGAAAAACGAAAACCGAAAACGATTGTTAATTTTGTGTATTGTGAATTTAGATTAGGGATATGGCGTTGAAGGCTTCGGGAGCGTACAAGCATTGCGCTCCGTGCACGGGGCCGACAGCGCAGGGGAGAGTGCGGAGCAATACGGAGTCGGACGCGGATTCGGACCGTTTCCGGTGGTCGTACCGGAGGACAGGGAGTTCGAGCTCGACGGCGACGAGGACGTGGGGGAAGGAGATGGAGGCGCGGCTGAAGGGAATTTCGAGTGGGGAGGGGACGCCGAACTCCACCAGCGGGCGGCGGACGGAGCCGGTGGTGCTGTTCGTCGAGGAGAATGAGCCTAAGGAGTGGGTGGCGCAGGTGGAGCCCGGCGTTTTGATTACGTTCGTGTCGTTGCCACGTGGCGGGAACGATCTCAAGCGCATACGCTTCAGGTACGTACGTATGTTATGTTACGTTACGTTGCGTTAGGGGCTTCGTCTCGTGCTGTGTTTGTAATCGGGGCGACAGTACCCGTGGTGTCGTTGTTTTCGTTGCCGTTGGGGGTGCTGATCGGACGGTGAGCGTGAGTGTAGGGTGATGATTGGTCGCTATTTAGATCGTCTAGACATTGATGATGACAATGAGAGTCAATTTCTCACACCTCACTTGTAGGGTCGTTTTCGCCTTTGCTTAATTTGCATTCCCTTCTGTCTTAGGTAGGAGTATATCTTGAAGTGGAAGTGGAACAGCTTCTCACCTGGAGTTGGGGCTTGTTAACTTATTTTTTTTGTCATGTTTTTCTAGATTGTATACAATCAATTCTTTCAAAATATAAAAGGATTGATAATTATAATTATTATAATTTTAAAACACTAATATAATAACAATGTAATTAAAGAAAATAATTTATTTAAAAATATGCGAGATATACGTAGTTAGAAAATTTTATTTACATTCAAAATATATAGAGATAATTTTAGAAAAACATTAGTATAAAAGGTTTTTTTGTTTGTTTGTGGATTTGTTACATTTTTTGTGTGTAATGTTAATTTTTTAGAATAAATTCCTTTAGTGACATGATATAAAATTTTGTATCTCTGATTTTATGTGTAGCATTGCCTAAAATGTAATGTATTGTAGTATTTAAAATAAGATATTTACAATGTAGACAGATATTAAGTCGTATTAGTGCAATTTAAACTAATATCCTATGGATGATTTTGATGAGTTTTGAATGCAGTGAGTGATGATCCTACAATTAGTGATTGCCGTTACCAGAAAATCATCCGAATTTTTGGAACTTCAGGCCCATTCAAACGGCATTGTGTTTTTTGGTCAGAAATGGAACTTGGATAAGTGGGAACAGGTTTGAGCTTCGGCTTGATCACAATTATGCTCACTTGTCGCTGACAATTTAAGTATCCAAAGTCCAAATCCCCCACTGCTATAAATGATTCCTCTCCCTCCTCCGTAAATATGATAGAGTGTAGGTTTGGGTCCCACATTTCTCAGTAAAATTTCACGCCCTTGCCAAAAGCAATCAAAAAAGGTATCCAAAAGACAACTTATTGTGGCCTATAAGTGGTGGTGGCCCGGTGGGTCGTTTTTGATTGTGTTGGTGCCTTTTAACCCAGTTTTGTCGAGTGGTCGGAGGAAACTCTTCTGCTTCCTTTCTTTTTTTCTTTTTCAAAATTTGTTGTGTCATGCCTGATTCTTCGCGACTTTGTCTTCGTCTAATATATACCAGTATTTTTTGTCTTTTAATCTGCAATATGCTGGGGAATAATGCTCCCATCATCGTCCAACCCAGATATATATACAAGACAAAATTACGAACGTCTACGACGTGGGCACGAAATGAAGTTAAAGATAGATAGAATAGATTAAAGTCTTATAGATGTTTTTTTTTATCACATTTTTTCTTAAATTATTGTAGGATAGAAACATGAATGACATTTGGGCATGTTGGTCCTACTTGGTGACTTGTGATGCAATCCCAACCAATGTGGAATTAGTAGGTGGGTCTATGTACGCACGATTTTGTGTCTCTTTTTTCATTTTGTCTTTTCCACAACCTCAACGCAGAAATTCAAGACATTTATCTCAAGCTAATATTAAATTTAAAACCTTTTCAACCATCTAAAATTCTAAATCAATTCGTGTTTTGGTGCGTTTAGTTATGTATTTGTCATTAATTACGTTTGGGCCTACCTGCTTCCAATTGTCTAGATTAACCTAAAATGTAAGGTCAAATTTGGCTGTAGAACAACTTTATTCCACGCACCGAATGACCGGTTTTGCTTTTAATTATTTATATGAGAATTCTTTGGCAAAAAGTATCCAGTTGAGTAACTTAGCATGATGGATTACAGTGTCATAAACCACTAAAATAACTTGCAATTCATCTAAGAAAGCTATTTGGTCAACAAAATAACATCATAATAACAGCAACAAACTGAAATTAGTTGAGGTTTTGAGTTATAGGCACGCGGACCACTCATAAAGAATATATATATATATATATATTACTTAATTATTGAGATGTAATAGGTGTAGTAACCTGCTGACTCATTATGGTGTGTATTTAAATAATCTTATATTTGTATAGGGTTTTTTTTTATCATTTTGATTTATGTAAATGTATGTTAAAAACTATTATCTTTAAAAATATTTTTTAATTTGTATACAACTTAATTATATATATATATATATATACATATATATAAACTTGATATCGTTTAGCTTGAAATAATCATTATTCTACAAGTCTACCCAACATCACACATGAAAAAAATATATGGGAAAGCAGGATGTGTATTCATGGGAAGGACAACAGGGTCATTTTAACTGTTTTATAATACTGTTGCATACTTGCATTGGTCTTTTAGTTCATATGATGACATCGAGACTAAAGAGAAGAGAGATGAATTTTGGTTTATTTTCTTTTATGTGTAGTCGAGAGATGTTCAATAAATGGCAAGCTCAAAGATGGTGGGCAGAGAACTACGACAAGGTCATGGAACTTTACAATGTTCAAAGGTTTAACCGGCAAGCATTCCCTCTTCCAACGCCACCAAGATCTGAAGACGAGGTAATTTAAGTAGCTCATTCACATGTAATCATATACAATTTAGTAGTTGGCTGCTGCATGCATGTTACTAAGGGCGATGCTTAGGTACTTCAATTATATATGTAAGCATAAGGAATTATGGGTCAAATAAATTACAGTATTCTATAGTTGATTGAAGTTCAGCATTGATTCAACCATGCTTATTTTGGACAGTAGTAATGCAAAATAAAATAAATCGTCTAAGGAGTGAAGCATTAATTTTACCTGTCTTAAATACAATTAGTCTAGGTAAAAGTTACGGATGCTTCACTGTAACAATTCTCCCTTTTTTGTTCATTGCCTTCTTAGTAGTTTTGCCTTTTCCTTAAAAACAATAATCACTTCCAGTAATAATTCTTTTCTCAAATTTCTCGTAATTACTGAATTCAAAGTTCTTTTTTATACTGTTTTTAATTTGTTGTATTTTACTTGGGTTGATAACAGAGCTCAAAGCTTGAATCAGCGGAAGAAAGCCCTGTAACGCCTCCACTGAGCAGGGAACGGTTACCTCGTAATATGTATCGTCCAACAGGGATGGGAATGGGATACTCATCCTCAGATTCCTTTGATCACCAATCAATGCAATCCCGGCATTTCTATGACTCAAATGGTATGAACTCAACCCCAAAAGTGTCCACCATTAGTGCGGCTAAGACAGAGATATCATCCATGGATGCTTCTATGAGAAGTAGCTCATCGAGAGAGGCCGATCGCTCGTGTGATCTATCAATCAGCAATGTTAGTGATTTGGAGACAGAATGGGTTGAACAGGATGAACCTGGGGTTTACATTACCATCAGAGCATTGCCAGGTGGCGCAAGGGAGCTCAAACGAGTCAGGTTCAGGTACGCTTGCTGCCAATATTATGGCTGGACAATGCCCTTTACCAATTCATTATTATGTCAAATATCTAATTGGCCTGTAGTATAAGAATTAAGAAACAAGCAATACCCAAATCTGTGTGCTGATTTCTGTCTATTGTGTTAGTTTTTCATGGTTGAATTTTGATGTAGAATTCTACGGAATTTATTTCTTGGTATTCTAATGTGTTACGCAGCCGAGAAAGATTTGGGGAGATGCATGCTAGATTATGGTGGGAGGAGAACCGTGCCAGAATACATGAACAATACTTGTGATTTATGAGATTTTACAAAGGGGGGTTGGCTGCTGATGCTTTACAAAGTGTGGAGCTGGTGTTGCTTATTAAATTGTTCAATATTTGTTTTGTTATACTACTAAGTCTCGTTATAGGTGCAGGTGTCAGATGAGGTGCTACTCGCATCTCTGCCTTTTTTGGGCTATTTACATCTCTACTCACACTTCTCGTCTTTGTGCGACCGGTTCAAGTTATATTCTCTTGGATCACATGTGAGTGGTAAATATAATTTCTAGTAGTTAAAAATACTGGTGGATCAAGTGCAGCAATGATTTACTTAAAAAGCTTAAGTATGGTGGGTGTAAATTCTATTACTATTCAAATTGGATACAAAGAATGGATCTACTTTCATTAATTTTGTCCCTATGCATATCAGTTATGATGCTCAAACAAATGAATGGATATGTCACCAGGATTATTGTCTCCTTGACATACTCTTTATTTGTTTGTTTGTTTATTTATTTTTGCATACGTATGTCTTCTTAATATCTCTGCTCTTTCCATTTCTGATTCTGTACTCAGAATAAATATATTTGAATTATTTTGGGTCACAAAGAACGAAGTATTTTTAAGGAAATATAAACTGCTAATCACTAGCTTCACGCTTCTAGTGTACCGGTCTGGTAGCAGTCTTGGGAGAGAGACTATTAATTAGGCAATTCATAATCACCGAGTATTCAATGAGCCATCAATTTTACATAGCATATATTTAGGTTTTTTAATATAAGAAAAAATAATAAGAAATTGATTATATATGAAATGTAAAGATTAGTTAGAACCATGTGTAATACCTAACAATTTCCCTACTAAATATTTCGTAAATGGCAGGACAATGACCTCGTTTCTTAGTCCGTACTCCGTTGGTCTCTGATCTGCCAGTTAAGTCTTTGGTTATATGACTGTTTGAGTAATTGAATTGGTGAAATATATGGTCAAAATTATAAATATAAGAATTTATAATTTATATGGTTATATGACTATTGGGAGTCAGATTCCCCCTTCAATTGTTTCTTTTGGTTTTGCAAAGTTTTATGATTTTGTGTGTACATTCCCTTTGAGGGGACATCCGATAAAATGATCATATGAAACTTCCAAGCATTAATCAATACAATAATACTTCTAAAATAAAAATAGTTTTACTAACCATTATTCTACGAATAATGATTAAAAAAATTAGTGATAAAATTATTAAAAAAATATAATATTTAATGCTTTCAATATTTGTACCATAAATCTTAATAAAAAATTTAAAGGCAACAGTTAGAAAACCGACAATAAAAAGCCAGGAGTGATATAAAGAACTGCTAAAATAATTTATTTTGGGTCATAAAAAAAGGCTCTGGTGTGCAGCCTGTTAAACCCTAAAAGAGAACTCACGAATTTTGACCCAAAACTCGCATGGGCCTTTAAACTTATATTCAATTTTGGATGAAAATATACTTTCAGCAGATGTTAAACACACCTCCACTCTCGTATAAACACATCCTCATTTTTAAAAAAATATATATAAAATGTCTAAATTAACCTTTTAAAAAAAATTTAATTCCTAAATTTATACCTCTCTTCTCCGCACCCCCCTTCCCCGCACCCCTCTTCTTCTCAAAGTCTCTTTCCGCTCAATGTCACTAAGAGTAATATGAATATACTTTTACAGTCATTTTGAATAGAAAAAAAAGGACTAGCCCCATCATAACTAGCATAAGAAAGGCTCTTTGCCGGTAAAGGATTTGACTCTGGTAAGTACCCTTTTTCACACACTTTTTTTTTTCTCTTTTTAGTTTTCACATGCTACCAAAATAGGTGTAGTGAAAGAAAGGTAGGGGGGTGCATGTAAAAATTAAAAAAAAGCTAAAATATATGTGAAAAAAAGTACTAAATTAAATATTATGGATGTAAAATTTAAAATTTAAAATAAAAAAATTAAGAATATTTTAAAATTTAATTATTTTTTTTTAAAAAGGACTTATAGAAAAAAGGAGGTGCATATATCACAAGCCTATACTTTCGGATTAACAAACCCAAAACTTCTTTAGTTCTTTCGTTTATGCCAACAAAACTGCGTTTTATTTGAAACATTTCCATCCACTCTCCTTGTTTTATTCTGAGACATCCGGTTTCATGTTTCTTTTTTATTATTAAAAAAATTATCATTTTAATTAGATTTCAGCGCTGTTTTGGTTTTGCAATATGTTGTTAACGTTTCGTTTTGCTACCGTAGAAATGAGTGAGAAATATACTACATGAGAGTGAAAAATGTGAGTAATACTTATATATGTATTTAGTTTTTTAGGTTTAAAAAATATATTTTTTATTCTCCAAATTAAAAATTATATGGATTTAGTTTCTATATTTTTTATAAAAAAAATAGTGTTTTGATCTTTTAAATCTGAGATTTGTGATTTTAGTCTCTAAAATATAAAAATATTATTTTAATAATTCTCAATTTATCACCTATCAACCATAATATTAGTGATTAAAATAATATTTTCTTTAGTTACATAGACTTAAAAAGTAAATTTAAAATTTGAAGACCAAAATAATAATTTTGATATTTTAGAACATAAAAACAAAAATTTTAAAATTTAAGAAATAAAAAAATATAAGACCAAATTTAAAACATTGAAAACATAATTGAGCCAATAATAATTTGTGTATTTAGTTAAGAAGAAATAAAGAGAAGATAAATAAAAAAAAAATATGACTCATTACGTAAAATTTAATCAATGAAATATATATATGTTTAAAAAGCAAAAAAGTGTGATCTGAACTGAAGTCTGAAAACTGAAAAGATGAGCCGCACGCGCGGGACTTTTTACAGCCTCTGCAGTGATGTATTAATATTATGTATAGTGTATAGTGCGTCTTTTTGGCATCACTTTCTTCTCCTCTCCGAATCCAAACATGTCATTCCCATCAAAATCACAGCAAACCTCCTCGCTGTCACCGTCTCCTATTTCCCATTAATTTAAAGAAAAAAGAAAAAGAAATGATCACCGAAAGCTGTACGTACACTCTTGCTCCTTCCTACACATGCTCTTGTCTTGTACAAACAAACCAAACACAATCTCTTCTCCACTTGCTCCATTTTCTATTCTCCTCTTCCACCTTTTCACATTCTCTGCGCCAACGTGCCACACCCTTTTCTCCCTTTAACTCAACTCCTCTCTCTATAACTTCACTCTCTCTCTCACTGTACCCCCACACGCACCATAATGCACCAAAGGGACAGACAGAAACCCACCCCACACAGGAGAAGAACCCCTTCCTTCTCCTCCTCCCTTCTCGACGCCATTTACCACTCCACCGACGACACAAAATCCGATCTTCACCAGGATCACCATCTGGGTCAAACCACCCACACTTTCAGCCACAACGCTCAGACACGTGGCAAAGAGAGAATGAATCTTCGCCGTGCCGTCATGCTCGAAGATTGGATGGAGAAGCGCACTTCCCATTCTCATTCCCTTGGTTCTCACTTGCTGAACTCGAGTTCAAGCTCCTCCGAATGCAGCTCCGGGGGAATATTCTCCTCTTCAGAAACTGACACGACAACAACCTCAAAGAAACAAAAACCAAGACCCACCTCGGAGAAGCAGAAGAAGAAGGAGGGTGGTTTTGCAAGGGCCTTGAAAATCTACGGCGAGTTCAATCAGAGAGTGAAGCAACCCGTTTCACCCGGGAGTAGAATAGCCACGTTCCTTAGCTCCATCTTCAACTCTCAGAACGTGAAGAAAGCCAAAATGTGTTACGTGGGTGCTGTCGAAGACGTTACTTTCGACCACAAAACCAAGTCCCCGTCTTTCTCTTCCACGCCTTCTTCCTTCTCCAGAAGGTCTTGCATGAGCAAAACACCTTCTTCCGCCAAAAAATCCAACGATGGGGTTAAAAGATTCGTCAGGTTTTACCCCGTTAGCGTAATCCTAGGTGAGGATCCTCATCCACAATCCAGCAACAACGTTTATGAGACTCAACCTAGTCTTAGTGTCAGAAAGATTACGAGAAATTCTTCGATCAAGGAGCTCAACAACACCAAAGAAAATAGAATTGAAGAAGCAGCGGCGCGTGGTTTTATTAAAGGATACCGAAATTCTGATAATACGGGTACTGAATTTGATTTTAGAGGTTTTTATGATAATGTTGAGAATGAGAACGAGGATGATGAAGAAGAGGATGATGATGTGAGTTGTTCAAGTTCGGATTTGTTTGAGCTGGATCATCTCATTGGAGCTGCAAGGTACCAAGAAGAGCTTCCAGTTTATGAAACTACCAATTTGGAAACAAATAAAGCCATTGCTAGTGGTCTATGTTTGTAGTTTAGTTCACTTCAAAAAAAAAAAAAAAAACGACATTAATTGTAATTATTTCCATAGTTTTTGCTACTCAATTTATAAACAACTTCATTGTTCTCTTATATTTTTCTTGTAAGCTGCGATTAATATTCATCTTTGCTTCCTAGTTGAGATTCTGATATAGGCTTTATGCATGGTAGGATAGGAATTATAGGGCTTAACAATTTTTGGATAGAATTGGATACCTGTGAGTTGGAGAGAAAGGTAGGAATGAACCTCATGTTCAATTGCACAACTATTGTCAAAGCAAACTAAGACAAACTGAAAAGATAAAAGTAAAAGCAGATTCATTTTTTTTCCTATCCAATGAGAAAAGAAAAGTTAAAAAAGCCTAACGCTTTTCCACTGGCTTAGCACATGGCCTCTGTGAGACGTGGTAAAAATCCCCACCACTTTAACGTCATAGAAGATTTAAATAAATGATTACAACCCACAACTTTTTGAGCGTTTGAAATTCGCGATTACGGGGTGATTTGAACTGATATTCTTGGTTGTAAAGCCAAAATTGAAGCTAATCTGATAAGATCAAAGAAACATTTGTATGAACGTAGCAGACAAGGTAGGGCCTCTGATAAGAAACTGGGGAAGTCAACATATGGTAGGAGGATATAATCAAGCATAATAGTTTGGATGTTTTCACACTGTAGGAGAAAAATAAAAGCAAGTGATAAAACTTAATCTCCATATATGAAACACCATGGCCACCTTGGTTGACAAAAACACCATCCCCAATGATCCCTTTGATGTAAAAGATTAAAAATGAAAAAAAGCAAACCAAGAAAATTAACTAATGATTTATACACTGCCAAGTGCCAAAACATGAATATTGAAGGGATCATAGGATGTCATTTGAGTCCTTGTGCATTTCATGATTGCCAAGTTCCTTGTAAATCTTGCATTTCATTAAAGACATGGCCCATTTGAGGTTAGTAATCGAGTTAAAACGGTGCATCCAACCAATTACACAACACGAATTGCCAGTAAGCAGAATTGGGATGTTACTCACCAACCAAGCACAACCTGTGCCACGTACTTAGGAAGATTATAAATGCGTTGCAAGTGCATGTGAAAGCAGCATCACATTATATCGCATGGTCCAAGGACCACATACCAGCCCTATGCCTGCGTACACATATATATATGATTCCTTTCGCCATTTGTTACCCAAAACGGGTACACACTTGAGCAACTTGGTCTATGCCCGGTCTCCATGAATTTAATATGTTAATTTAGTTTATAATTTATTATTATTATTTAGCAGATAATCCTTTGTTCAATTTTCATCGTGTAAGGAAACTTTTCGGCCAATAACAGTTATGGTATCACAAAAAAACTAGTTTCTTGAAGATATTGATAGTAGGATAAAAAAAATACATCAATCGTACACTCAAATGCCCATAGGCGCCTATATATTAATCAACTGTGGTATGATAAATTAAACATGCAAAAAAGTGATCAATTCTCGACACAAATTAAAACAATAGAATAATTAATCTAATCAGTTGAATGAAAATAAGGGTTCACGTAAAGTTGGGAATTTGCAAGTTACACCACAACCCAAAATCACGCCTGAGCATTTGAACGAGCACAACCGAGCTCTATGTTGCAAGGGCATGTTTCTGTCATGCATGGGTGTGCTCTTAATATGAAGCAAAGTCTTTACTTTGAAGCACAAATATGTTGGGAACTAACACGACCATGCTAGATCTATTGAGTGAAAACATCTTGAACTTGTATGCATGATTGTAATATTTATATGCACCACCATGCTCCTCAATTTGAAACACAATTAGATTTTTAAGTGAAAAAATCTCCTAGAATTTCAACTTTTTCCGCACTTTCACTTTTTCCTTCAATATTGTGCAAAACAAAGGAAATTGGATGGTCTCAACTTTCAAGTATTAATATTAAAAAGATAACGTAATTAATTGTTCCACGATGTCCTCTTATGAATCATGTACAATGAAAATTTATCATGAGAATTTTTTTTAATAAGGAGATATGATTTTTTTTTAATTGGTCAATGCCTATAAGATAAAATAATATTTTTAATCAAAATTTTATAAGAAGTGAGAATGAACCTGACTCTTGGTGAAGTAATTGTTGTGCTAATGCTTTTTTATGAAGTAATTACTTTTAATAGCAATTAGTTCTGAAAATAATTTTGTATTATAATTAAATCGATCAACCTCTGAGTCATTTGTCACGTCTAAAAGGTATGGTTTAATAACTATTTGTGATTTCTAAAAAAAAACATAAATTTCATAGTTAATCTAAATTTTTTAAACTAAGTTCTTATACATGTTCGTGTAAAATTTTCAAATACGTTTTCGTTAGATGATGATCGTTTAAACTCCTTAAATGTTTGTATGCAAATTGTTCTCATTTTTCATTGCTGTTATTGATTATGAGATTTAGGTTGTGTTTGGTAGAGAGGAAAAAAACATGTAAGAAATAAAGTGAAGAAAAATAGAAGAGAGAAATAGGTGAGTAAAAATATGTAAGAAATAGAATAAAAATTTGGTTGTTTGATTAAAATAAATATATATATATATATATAAAGAGGAAAGAGAGTGGATTGGGAGTTTACCACCTTTTAATTTTTTACCCTCTTATTTCTTATTAACCAAACTTCTCAACTTATTTTCACTCTCTCCTTCCTGGTTCTCACTCATTTCACTTTAACCCAACAAAAACTTAATTATAAAAAATATATAGTTATTAAAAATTTAATCGACAAACTAATAGTCAATCCATTTTCTCTTTGAAAATATCGCAACCTCATAGGATTCAATTTCGTTTGCATATTAAAAAAATAAAAAATTACACAACATGTAAGTGAAAATGAGCCAAAAAGTAACCGTGTCATAAACATGAAAAGAGTGAATGATTTAAGTGGATTTAAGATGAGTTTCACATAAATAATATTTACCTTAAAAAATGGGTGACTTAAGTAGAACTTCGACTAAAAATATTAATATTATTTTCATGTCTCTTTGAATTACTTGTGACGGAGTTACATATTTGTGAGTAAAAGATAGAATTTGGTTTGAGTATAACATGGCTTCAAATGAAACACACCATATGCAATTATGTAAGATTATATTTTATTATGGACACCTTCATTGTATCTCATATTCAAATATGAAACAGATCATATTATTATGTTAAGCTATATTTTATTATGGACCTCTTTATTGTGCATCATATTTGAATATGTTGTGTAAGGGTTGATACATATTTAATAAATATACCAATTTTCACAGGTGGTAAGGAGGACAAAAGTTCAAATTATTGAATCTACAAGGACTTAAATTTATAATTGTTTAATACAATTCTAATACTAAATAGATGTATAAAAGAAATTTAAAAATTGCTTAAATTGTAATACAAAAATTTATAGAAAAGCATGTAATAAAACAGTTAAGAATTTGAATTTAAAAAATGATAAGAGTAGACAAAGATTGATCTCACTAACCTTCTTCATGTAAATCCTCCTTAATTTTCATTCAATGTTGTAATTAATTAATTCAACAATTCACAATTATATTTAAATCCTAATTTCTTATATGAGAGATTCTAGATTGTTTAAGAGAAATTTTGATTTCTTAGTAGTTTTTGTTAAATAATCATGTATTAATGTCAAGGATGTGTTAAAGTCAACAACCAAAAATCAACTAATAAGATTTATTCCAATTTATTGGTAATAAATGTTATTAGCATTTTACTTAGATTGTAATTCTAAAGGATTCTCTAACCTTAAACAAAATTATAAAATCATGCATTAGGCAAAGCACACATTAAGTACTAAGTAAAAATAATTAGCTGAATAAAAATAATATATTGAATGAGAATAGGGAATATTACATGAGTACAACAACATCAATCTTTAACAATAAATAACTTAGTCACCCATGATTGAGAATTACATAAGCGAATAAAGGATCTTCAATTGATCCGTGATTACAAGAATGCTCTCACAATAACTCTTTAATCTTTCTAAAATTGTGCTTAGAAAAGTCATGAATGGATCTAGAGACCTCTTAAAGATCCTGTTTTTATAATATTTTCTATTAGACTTTTAGGTTAAATATGTTTACTTAGAGAGTCCATGTGACTTTCTCATCTGTTTTGTTTCACTCAAAGTGCTTCTATGATAGTTTTGGATGAATTTCGCTTGCTCAAAGCGAGTTACTTAGGCATTTTGAGTGAGCAGGTGTGATCCTCTAGGGGTGCTATTTGATTTTACTCGCTTCAAGCAATGATTTGGTTGCTCTAAACGAGTTTTGCGCACTCAGAGTGATCTTCTATGTATCTTAGAGCTATAATTCCCCTTTAAGATTTGTAACTTTCAATTTATTTGTCTGTATTATATCTCAACAAAGGAAAATATTAAAAATATATAATATTTAAATAATTAAACCCTAAAATTGAAATTACCTCTTAACTAAGTGTTTTGTGATAAAAAAACAAGATTTACAAACATAAAATATATTAATAATCACCTAAATTAAATAAAATATGTATGCATATTTGACAATTATCATAGCTAAACACCTATATTGTGTATGATATTAAAATATAATAACTGTTCTTACCGGAAATCTGCTGTAGAGATGATCCTCCGAGTAAGATTGGTGAGCCTCCTTCGCTGGTACGCTTGATGCTCCAAGATGGGGGTGGTACCTGCAAAAGAGACTCCGATGCTCAAGTTAGTGTTTGTGGGAGTATTAGTCTCGTATAAATAATGCACATACCTTAGTATGAATTACGGTTTTACTGGGCCTTGGGCCCGAGATCAGTTATGACCTATTTGGGTGACGAGCTGACGTCACATAGCGCGTGTCCGAGGTCGTCTTGTGATGTGATACCGAGCTGGGAGCTCGGCTTCGCAGTACGGATAGTACACTAGCCCCCCGAGCTCCGAAGACCGTAGGTCAAGGAGTTAAGACCGAGCTCGTCAGGGAACAATGACCTTTCGCGTATACCTGCCTATCATGATGCCATGTGTCATGGTCGAGCTGAAGAGCTCAGCAATAATGAGTTTACTGCTTGGTT